CTGTGTCTTTGTAGGACAGATTGCTTCTTTCAAGCTTTCTCTCAGCCCAACAACTTACAGTCTTACGAGTTTCAAGAGGTTCTACAAAGTCTCTACAAAGCAATCCAGCAAAATAAGGTAGCATTCCTCTTTACTGCCCCTCCAGAGCCTTTGAGCAGATCAAAACATAGAACAGCACAGAGCAACCAGTGAACAAAACAGACACCAGCTGAATAACGTTTTAGCAATAAAGAATACGTGATGTTTTCTCAACTATCTTTTCATTTTTTTTAAAGGAATCAGTGTAATAATCATAAATTTAAATGTTTATACTGGGCAAAGCCAAGTATTTTCGGTTGAAAAAGAGAAAGTATTTTGTTTTGGTTTTTTTTCCATATAATTTGAAAAAAAAATAAATCTCTATTTCAGGGAAACCTAAATGAATCTCTTTTGCACTCCATCGCTGTATCAAAGACATCTGTTACTGCAGCTTCACTGCACAAAGTTATAGCAGGACTGTGCAGGAATCCGTTGTTAACAGCACACTTACTCCAGGGAAACTTAAATGAATCTCTTTTCCACTCCATCCGCTGTATCAAAGACACCTGTTACTGCAGCTTCACTGCACAAAGTTATAGCAGGACTGTGCAGGAATCCGTTGTTAACAGCACACTTACTCTTCGCAAGTACCATAACCTACCCTACCCTAGGATATTGTGATCTGCACACAAGTGGTCAAGCTGACAGGATTTCCAGAAAACATGCCAGACAAGGAACACTATTGCGTCTTCACCACTGGGGAGGTATGTGTCATGATATCACAGTGGATGAAAGAAAAAAGAGAATAAGTATACCTGTATATGTTCTGAACCTCAAGAAAACAAAAGCTCCAGAGATTTCAGGGTTACCCCAGAAGTAACACACAATATCTTCAAAACAGTCATAGTTAAGTCATATATTTCACTCTGCAGTTCATGGACATAATTTTTAAAGCTCTAGTGGTAAAAATAACCTGAAAAGAGGTATTGAAATGGCAAGAAAAATCTGTTCCTGGAAGAAATAATACAATATATTGTAGTTGACATCTGAATTTTCAGAAGTAGATCATATAATAATCAAATCCAATTTTATAACAACTCCTGAAATGCAAGTTATGTGCCAGATCCTGCACCTGTAGAAATGAAAAGCAAGCTCCCATTACCGTGTCCTATCCAAACCATGGACCAGAAAGCCTGATTTTATTCCTCAGAAAAGCATTTGTTTCAAACTCTATTTTTTGTGAAAATATGCCAGCATACTTTTGTGTTCTGCTAGAGAAATAAATATTCTGTGAGATACCTAAACAATTCCTTTCAAAACAACATACATAATTATCTTCCTTCCTTCTTACCCATGCTGTTTCTGGCCTTTGTAGATGTGCGCTTCAAAATTTCACGTACCTGTGGAAAAGAGCAGTGATTTAACACACAAATTGTCTTTTAGCATTATTTTCATCATGGAGCTAGCAATGAAACAAAACTTTTAAATAAGAGGCTTCTGTAGAGTTCATTTGCACATACATTTAAATCATATGATTCACTCATACGTGCATGACTTGAGGCCACTAGTTAACAGTTAATAATGCTATGGCAAGTCGATCTAGTGGATTATCTGCCCTAACATTGGTAGGCTGAATCCTGCTGTGTCGCATGCTTATAAAACTCTCTGAAATATAAGGACTTGGGTAGAATCAGAATTTTATACTAAAGAAAATCACAGCAAAATCTGACTTTGTAAAAAAAACGTTTAGCTTCCACATTTGGAAGTATAACATCAAGATGCACACAATGATCAGTAAGTATGCTATATCTATGAAATCCAAATGTGTATGGATGAATACAGCATGTTAGGGAGGAGTCGGCATTGTATATGTAAAGGGAAATCTTGCCTCCCCAACCTGCTGAAGACCTAGCAGGATCTCAGGAACATGATACAAGGTTTCTCACCAAAGACTGTTGGGGCTAGGAATTTACTATAGCATTGTAGAGGAGGTCCTTTTATGGCATAAAATCTAGTTAAAAATTAGGAAGCAGGGCTTAATAACAAGAACTTTCAACAAAGGAGAGGAGTCAGTAGCAGTGTTTCCCTA